CCCTCCCCCTCCCCTCCTCTCTCTCTCTCTCTCTCTCTCTCTCTCTGTCTCTCTCTAACATCTCTCTCTATCGTTTCTAGTTCCACCATCTTCACGACGCACCGGAACCGGAAGAGGAGCTGCACGAGAAAGACAGCGGCATGGGTCGCTGCAGTGACGACTCTGCCAAACACAGTGACTACTCATCCTCGGACCATGAGCATCATCATCAGCAGCAGCAGCAGCAACATCAGCAGCAGCAGCAGCAGCATCAGCATCAGCAGCAGCAGCAGTACCAGCAGCAGCAGCACCACCAGCAGCAGCACCAGCAGCAGCAACACAACAAACAACAACAACAAACAACAACAACCAACAACAACAACAACAACAACAACAACAACAACAACAACAAACAACAACAACAACAACACAACAAACAACAACAACAACAACAACAAACAATCAACAACAACAACAACAACAACAACAACAACAACAACAGCAACAGCAGCAGCAACTCAGCAGCAGTGGAGACTGGTGTACCGCATCCTCCCGGCAGGGGGCGCCACTGCGGGAGGACATGGCGTGCTGCGCGTGCGAGTGCGGCAGTCGTCCCGCATCTCAGAACAGCATCGACCGCGAACTCGAAGATCTCCACCGCGAGATACAGAACCTGACGGTGCTGCCGCGACCGCCGCTGCCATCGTCATCGTCGTCGTCGTCGCTGCGCAAACCGCGCCGACACTCCGACACCTCCGTGTGGCGCCAGGGGGCGCCGCCGTCCGCGCAGCCACGCTCGCGCTCGTTCCCAGACGCGGCGACGACGCGCCTCCAGGTGGCGCTAGCGGTCGACTCTAGCAGCGCCTACAACACGGGCGACAGCGAACACAACAACAGCAGCCGCAACTCTCCGCTCGGCGACGCGGCGGCGGCGGCGCCCCCTGGCGACGACAACGGCGACGAGCGCGCGACGACGGCGCGACTCGCCGCCACCGCGGGGCGCCACCAGCACCTCTCGCTTCTCCGCCTCTCCGCGCCCGCCGACGCGTCGCCGACGCCGACGCCCTCTGGCGGCTGGCGCGTGAAACGTCGCTCGGACGGTTCGCGCTACGTGACGCGCAAACCCGGACGCAGCCTCGTTCTGAAGCAGCGCGAGTGGCGCCTCCTGGAGGAGCGATGCGGCGCGACGACCGACGACGACGCGCTCAGCGAGATGAAGGCCGGCCGCCATTGGTCGAGAGAGGAGCGCAAGCGCCACCTGGTGCGCGCGCGGGAGCGGCGGCGGCGGCGCGAGGACGCCGCGTCGCGACCTCTCCGGGAACAGGAAGCCGCGGACAATGTTCCGGGAATCCTGGAGCTGAGTCGCCGGAAGCAGTCGTTCAAGGACGGCAAGAACTTCGACGATTTCGTCACCGTGCAGGAAATGATGGTGCACGGGAGCAGGGGCGCGCACCGCTACCCCTACCGCCATCTGTTGTCCGTCACCACAGTCTAATTTACAGTCTAACTCTAATTACAGTCTATGTATATACTATATGCACGCACGCACGCACACATACACATACACACACGCACACATACGCATACGCATACACACGCACACGCGCGCACGCACACACGCACGCATGCACGCACGCACGCACGCACGTACACACGCGCCACGTGAGTAAGTGACACATCACGTAAGTGAGTACATACATATACATATTATGTATGTATGTATTATATATATATAGATATGAGATATCGTGCTCTAGTGAACATGATGAAGAAGCACGATGCAGGAGCATGATGCGGTAACATGATGCGGTAACATGATACCTGACCACGATACGGAAGCATGAAGGGCGCAACACAACACGTATGCATAAAATGAACTCGCGTTTTGTTGCGGATTGCACACGCTAGGTGGCAGCAGTTTCCAGTCACGGAGGACCTCATGCATTGTCAGCGAGAAGCAGACGAGATTTTGCTGTGGATAACTTCGCGTTTCTGCGCGGAATGTTGCGTATATAGTGGTCCGGGAATTATATGCTACCGTAACGAAAAATTGTATAGCGAATAAACTAATTTAACTTTGTAAATGTTATGAATATGACTAAGATTTGTACAATAAAAAACCTGCGATTGTGAAATAATACATTATTGTTTCGCGTATAGTATCGATATTGTTCACACACACGTTTCTAAGTAAATACAATTAAATAAGCAGACACAACGGACTAAAAAGTTAACGAACAAAACTACAAAGTTTACTACAAAGTAAAACAACAGAACAAAATCGATAAAAACAAAAAAATCCGGCAAAAAAACGTGTCAGTTGCCATAGTCTCATCAACCAGCGGGGGGGATACTATATACATAATATATATTATATATAATTATATATACATATGTATATATTATATATTTCACCGTGCAACTGATGCCGTGGGCGATACTATCCGCGAGAGGGGAGGGAAATATTGAGGGNTGCGCTGTGGTCTGTGTACTCATGGTGATACTCGGTATAAACTGCAGGGAGCTATAGTTGATGCAAAGCTGCTATACCTGCGGCTCTTCGCGCTCTCACTGCGCTCGGCTCTGCCCACGTGTTGACGAGGTTGGGAGCCCAGCGTGCCAGCTCCTCATCGTTCTCCTCTAGCTGCTGATGCAGAGTGTGAGCGGGGGAGAGCAGCAGCAGCGTCAGCAGCAGCGGCAGAGCGATGTCCAACCAATGCATGTCGGCGACGATATCTGTAAAGCATATATATATATATATATTCAGGTAGTAAGGCT